GGCTCTTGCAGTGTCCGCCCTGGATGATCCGGAGGCGTGATATGTCGCCTTCGAGTCGGATACATCATCCGACTCGCCAGAATAGATGAGCTCTATTTCAGACTCATCTGGATTACGGTTAGCGGTACCCGCTGCAGACGCAGCGGGTGTACCTGTCGCTCGTGGTGACTCACCACGTGTACTGTTCACAGCAGCAGGTTACGAATCACCTGCTGCTGATGTGTGGGAAATATCTCTACGGCTGCACGCATGCGTGGAGCCGCCCCTTTTTGCTCCTGCAGTAGAAACTCGCTTGGGTTTCGAAAGAACGCGTTGGATTGGCAAATGAATGGAATTTAACCAATAAGTGCTTCCTTTCCCAGATGATCCAACGGTGGTCACCCTGTCATAATCCATTTCAATCTAATTAATGGTGGATTGATGGTTAAGGGGGGATGTAACTGGGGTAGTCCGTTACATGAAATGACACCAAACGGTGTCAATAGGAATATTGTCTAGCATGACATTTTCTTACCGATATTATCCAAGATGGAAATATTGAAGGAATTTTATCCCATTGTAGGATAATATATATGCGCTGCTCAACAATTGGATGATAAAAGACATGTCAGCCATAGATTACCGCCAATCGCTGCTAGACGCGCGCAATGAGTGGTGAGAAGGTTGTCGTCATACGACGACGTAGTTTAATATATTTCGATAAAGATTAAAGTCATATTGATAGCTTTACTATTTAAATATAGTCCTCTCTTTACCCTTAACTCAACCTAGTTGTTGAGTTTATTAGCTTCCTAAACAAAGGGTGCCCCGTTACTTTAAGGTATTGCTGCAGCTTTTGACCGGCATTTCCATACTTGAAAACCTGACGAGTTCTAAGTAAGCAGGAACCGCATTTTTATCGACTTTTAAATTTTTGGCAGCGTGATTGTATCTTAGTGAATCTTGGTTTGTGCACAGAGAAACGTTTGTTACAGAATGGACTAGCAATATCCATTATCTCGTTGGTAAATCAAACAAATTGACGGCAGAGGGTGCTCATGCGTCACAAAAGATGTACTTGCAATTCAGCACCAGCGACCAACACGGTCTTAAAGAGCGCATTGTACATCTGTTGAGGGGATAAGTCGAGATTATTTGCACCGCTACTGATACGCAGCAAACTAGAATGGCACAATGTTTTGCGAAAATATTCGGTATATGCAAATTATAGGAGAGATTAGTCGTACCACACGTTGCGATCGGCCAATAACCAGCGTGATGAGATGATTTGAAGCGCAGCTACCAAGAAATCGTTACAGGAATACATTGGGGCATTCAGGACAACACTGGGCCTTCCACGTGCTCGCGAAAGATGCAACTTGTACAGAAATGAGCCAATCGGTCTTAGCTTCATCGCACAACGATATAAACTGCATCTTCATATCCGAGTAAAGACATCTAGGCCTTTATTGAAGAGCTATGCAGTGCGTTGGATCGACTGCAGGAGGTAAATTGACCATGCCCCACAGCCAAACGCAGATTGCTTTTTGGTGATTGAAAAGTCGCTAATCGGTAATATGCGGCAATATTAATCTCATGATAGTAAAAGACACGCCTGTTCGAAAGAAAAACTAAGATGCGGTAGGCAAAGCAAGAATCATCCGGATTGAACACATTTCACTTAGAAAAATCACCATTGAGATCTGTGTGGCAACGCCGACCATGATAATCGTTCATGTCTTGCAGAATTTAAACACGGGATTGAATTTGTTCCGGGTGAAGAAGATACGTGCTTAGATGAGGAGAATCAACGCACGGCCAAGCCACCTACTATCGTGATCTTCTACGCTGGAAAACCATGCAAAAGATTTGTGTCAACTTGATGCTAATGATTGAAATCAGCAGCGTAAGTTGGTATCTATTTCAATAGTAGAGACTACGCTCACAAGGGAATTTTACGTACGATTTTATACACTGACAAAGTTCCGTGTTCTAAAATGAACAGTGACGATGATTACGTGCAAGGTAATTTCGAAACGGGCGTCAAGCCCTGGAATATGAGTGTTGAGCTGATACAAACTGTGGGCACGAATTGGATTGCTAAAGTTCTATTGTGTGTGACGAAAACGTTTTATCAACGATACGGCTGAGTAATTCTCCTATTATCCGTATACGAGAGCCTGTGGGTTTTGTGATGTAAAGCACTAATATCGTACAAACAAAATTTATGGCGTGGTGAGCATCGAAGAGGTGTGGTGTAAAAATAAGCCCCCTTAAATGAACTGCCACTGCTATAGGGTCAGAAGATTGCTGCTTTTATTGCATTCTATCATAGGATAGGCCGGATGCTCCACATTTATGCAATAAACATAAGAAAGCTTTAGTGCTCGTTGAAATACTGAGAGCTCCCTTGTTATCTCCTTTAGTGTATATCATGTGGGTGATCAAGGTACATCATTGAGACAAGAAAGAATTTAAATTTTGCGGGCAGTGTGTCCTTCAAAACGACACACGACAAATAGATTAATGTGCATGGACGGATATGGAAACTGCAGCAAATGATGCTACCTCGGTACATTGTAATAAATTCGTTTCAGCGCACTAGGCAATCAGCGCACTAGGCAACGTTTTTAATTTTATGCTGTTATAATGTGCAGCCCTAGCGTATTCGCTTGGATAGAAAACTTAAAATTTGACAATCCAACACAGTCCTTTGATCACTAGGAATTTGTATGGTCGTTTCTAGCCGTTTACTTTTGACCGGGTGCCAAATTTTAGTATTTGAGATTTGTCACCAAAACAACGAATGAGGACATTTACACTTGAGGGGTATGTTATAAATCTTTGCACATAACACACTTAAATGACAGCGCCCAACTCGCAGTGGTTATAGAGATATGGGTAAAAATACGGGTGGCCGTAATTTTATGGCCCGGACTATATTCGAACAATTACTGCAGTCTTTAAATGATGGTGACAGCGAAGTTATGAACGATAGCTGACATTCAGTTGACATAAGATGTATAATATAACTTTTGAGAATCGATAATGCAAGTCAAAATATTGCAAAACGATGATTACTTGTTCTTGTAGGTACTTGTCGATATGACAGTGAACGTTTCGCACTGTAATTCAAGTTTGAGCGATACTTACGTCATTGACTGGCGCAAAAGGTCTTTGTTGAACTTCAATATGCTGAAATACGATCGATGGTTCCTCTGCGTGGGTACACACTCGCTATATCAACAGCAACATCGCGAGGGCGCTAGAATTGGTATACTGCCCTCGACTCGCCAATGACCCACCTTTAGATGACGTGTCGATTGCACACGGCGATCGATCATCATGTGTGTAGCTGCTTCGTTCCGAGTAGTTTTCTTAGATTCGAGACAGCCGGTTTCAACGCCGTTGATGATCGATCGCCTCATAACAATTTCAAAAATTTCCTAAAAACTTGCTTATGGTCGACGTCAACCCTGAAAATCGGATTTGGTGCTGAAAATGATGATGTAACGGGGCACCCTGAAGCTTGTACTGGTGACAGTACAAGCTACTTATTCTGATGACAGAATAAGGCGGTGCCTCATAACTTGACGTACACTGGTACGTGCAGAGGAAGACGTTAAGAAGAAGCGAGTACTTGGTTAAAGTAAAAAGTAGAACTGTATTTATAATAGTTAATGTCTGCAATAAATCACTATTTATCTTCATCTAACTATGTCTAAATACAAATGTGCATATCACTATCTGCTCACCACTCATTGCGTGCGTCTGTCGTGGCGCGTCTTCGTTGGTTGATATAATGGCCTATATCAACCAATTAGGAGCTACTCGTAAGTGCTACAGAATATTTGTCCTTATGATAATATTCTGAGAATATAACTCTTATAGTTATATTCTATTAACAATTTCTTATAAATTGTTATGTAACGATTCACCCCGTTACATCACCCCCCCTTAACCATCAGTCACTTTAGTGACTGATTGACTGAATGAATATTCGTCCCAAACAATTTGGGACAGGGTTTGCACTTTTTGGTCCGAGTTCACTTTCCAACAATTCATCGCATGGTTAACAAGCCCATGCGATGCGCTAGCAAGGCCGCCGAGAGCGCGTCCGCACGTCTTTGTGCGTACGCCGAAGCAGAAACCACAGCAACTGATGTCTCATCGGTTGCTGAAGCGACTCAGCCTGTGTCACTTGGTGATGCAGGCGCTAGTCATGAAGACACTCATGTCTTCACAGAGTATGAGCTCGGTGTCTCATACTCTCCTAATGCGAAAGACGGATCCGTATCGACGGCAATTGAATCCAAGCCGCCTGCCGAGCGTGGCATGGATGATGCTATGCGTCGTAGCATCTTTGGTTCATCTGATGAATCAGATGAACCATCGCCGAAGCGAAGGCGCTCGAGGTCGCGAGACTGGGGCGCTAACAGTGGTGTCGGCTCTCCTATTGACACCACTTCGCAGCGAGGTGCCAGTACTTCTGTCGGCACGTCGCAGGAAGAGCGGGACCGCAACGTGTTGCGTCTCGCTCCTGAGAAGAAGGCATGGCTGCCTCCAAAATCCGTCAGGGTCACTTGTCGGCGACGACGAGTGATCGCTATCGAACACGATTGTTCGATTCGTCAAGGATCCATCACCTTGACCCCAGTGCGAAAAACTATCGCGCTGAGAACGAGTTCTTCATCGATGCTTTCTTTAAACATCGATGGTACAGTGGGAATCACAAGCGTGATGGTCCCTCACTACTTCAAGCGTGAAACGCCTACATCCATAACCTTGAGGATGTAGGTCGTGACTCTTGGAACGACAAACTTATCAAAGCTCGTGATAAGTTTGAAAAGCGAACCCCGACAGGTGCACGCTACAAGCTGCATCGTCTGTTAAGGGAGAAAGGATTACCCTGCCTCTCTTGGGGAGACTCGTGCCCATGTTGTGTGAACAAATCTGCACTAGCACCTAAAGAGGCTTACCTCCTTACCAGGTCTTGGTGGCGCGTACGTATCTCTACTGAGATGTACGAAGGGATTGACAACCTGAAATCCCTTTACGACCGTGCCGGGAAGACTTTCTCCGGCGGTCCTTCTGCGGTACAGGATGTGCCGCGTTGTACTGCTCGACCAGACCCAGTACGTCAACCATCAGTTGGGAGCGGGGCTCCCAAGTATCCCAGGACGGGGGATAGCCGCGCCACCGGACGAGATAACTCGTCCGACGTCCGTTCACGTCGCGGTGGTTCAACAGCTGCTCAACTAGATAGCGCTGGCCACCACGAGAGTCTTCTAATGGAGGTGGAGGAGGAGGAAAGACGCTCTCCACACGATCGTGGGGATCCGTGTGTTCCCGAGAGCTTCTTTGATCGCGTAACGCAAGGGTTACGCGGTGATCTCGAACATGAGCGGGACAGACGTCTCCAACTGGCGGACGCTGTCTCGAAGCATCGAGCTGAGTTTGCCTTTGCTCAGCTTGAGAACGAGAGAGCTCTGACGTCTCTTCGTGACGAGCTACGGGTAGCTCGTGGGATTGTTGATCGGTCTCGGGGTGAGATATCTGCTCTTCAGACCCTTGTCGATGCCCACCATCGGGAGCACAAGGCTCTCTGCGAGATGCTTGAGCGCAAGGGCGTTCTTCATCGGAAGAAGCAGCGTACTGGTGGTACGGCTTAAGCCGACCAACGAAAAACGTGTGATGCGTTCGCATCTTACGTAGTAACTCGATCGTGTATGCATTGCCTAGGCGGTGCAATACACGAAAGGGGCCGATGTACTTGGGTAGTAGTTTACTGCTACCCAAGTTATTCACTACATGCTTTGGTAGATTAACCGTAGGCAGTAGGACTAAGTCATCCTTATTGTATAAAGGAGTGTTTGCCCTTCCATTCTTGTCTGCGTTTTGTTTTTGCTTATCCACCGCTTCGGCGATGGAGTCTTGCACAAAACGGACTACCGTTTCACGAGCCAGTATGAACTCATCTGCTGGCTCGTTAGCTCCAGTGCGCTGTGAGTGCACTGCAGCGACAGAAATCTTTTCTTCAGTGAGGGCTTCCGCACTCTCACTGGCATCATCTTCTTTGATATCGATGTTATCGATATCGGCATCAAATGCAATGACCTCTTCGTCAGAGCGTGTTGAGCGTGAACCAAATCGGTTTTTACTCGCGCGAGTCCCCCCCCTTAAACCAGGGTCACACTCTAGTAAGGTGGGTACACGCGGATGGCGCAAGCCATTCACGTAAAACGGTGTATGTGTCGTTGACGCATGCACCGAGTTGTTAACGCTATCATTGGCAAAAACTCAATCCAACTCTTAAAGGAGTATACGTATCCTCGAAGTATCTCTTCGAGGACACGATTGGCACGTTCCGTCTGACCATCTGACTCTGGATGATCAGATGTAGACATCTTCAAGCGCTTTCCGAGTGATTTGAACACGGAATGCCAGAAATCAGCAGTGAAGCGTGGATCTCTGTCTGATATGAGTTCACGGAGCAACCCATAAAGTCGGAAGATGGTTTCAATGAAGACACAAGCACAGCCACTTGCTGTGATTGACTCTGGTACAGCCACAAGGTGTACCATTTTGCTGAATCTGTCAACGAATACGAGAATACCCGTATTCCCGCGTGCGTCTTTCGGTAACCCGAAGACGAAATCCATTGAGATGGATTCCCAGAACTCAGCCGGAACTGGTAGAGGCTGTAAAGGTGCACGCAGTGAAGGACTTGACTTCACTCGTTGGCAGACTTCGCATGCGCGAACATACTTTCGCACAAACTGATACTGGCGGGGCCAGTAAAAGTCTCGACTCACCGTGAGATATGTTTTCTCCCGGCCACGATGCCCTCCTATAGGAGCATCGTGATACTCGAACATGATCCGCAAACGCAGATCAGTATCATCTGGAATGACAACACGTGGTGTGTCACCAGAAACGGCTGTATAATCCAGTAAACCTTTGTGAGTAGTGTATCGATCTGATGCAGATCGATACGCAGACGACAATCGTTTCAACGATTCTCGATATGGCTGTGAGAGATGTGTCAACAACTTCACAATCTCACCATCTTGGGCATATGCCCGCCTCACATCATCATGCAACGTTGAAGATGGGACTGAGGACGTCATAACCGCAACAGTGACTGTCTCACAGTTGGGTTTCGCGACTGTTTCAAAGTCGGGACGACGTGAGAGTGCACCAGCGACGACATTAAGTCGTCCTGGTTTGTACTCTACCGCAAAGTTGTATTCTGCAAAGAATGACAACCACCGCGCCATTCGTTGGAAGGTGCGGGCTGTTCACTGCCGTGCGTAACGACGCATGGTCAGTGTAAACAATGAAGGGTCTATCTCCTAATAGATAGACTCTGAACTTCGCGAGTGCATACTTCATGGCAAGCAGTTTCTTGTCATGCACTGGATAGTTCCGCTCAGCTGGTTGCAGCTGACGCGACTCATAGCAGACGACGCGTTCAACGCCTTCAAGATCGTACTGCATTCACGCACAGCCGATTGCGAAATCGCTGGCATCACAGACCACATGAAATGGCCTGTCCTGATCGGCAATCGCTAGGGCTGGGGATTGTATCAAGCTCTGCTTGATACCATCAAAGGAGCGCTGACATTCAGCGTTCCATAACCACATCTCGTTCTTTTTCAACAAACGAGAGAGGTGCACAGTCATCTCGGCGTAATTGCGTGAATACTTATGCAAATACGCCGCTAGCCCAAGGAATTTTCGAAGACCTTTGACATCAACCGGCACATGCCAGTCGGTGATTGCCTTGATCTTTTCGGGATCAGGACGTACACCGTTCTTACCAACGATGCATCCAAGAATTGGTATTTGCTTGCTGCAAATATACACCTCTTGAGGTTTGCATACAATTGATACTTTCGCATGATTGTAAGAACCTGTCGGATGGGGTACCTGTGAACCTCAACATCCGACTTTCCATCCATATCTCGACAATGGATGAATACGTCATTGAAATAACTCGGCGCGAATTCTCGTACCGGTTATAACAGATGTGATACACATCTGTTGAACGTGGCAGGGGCATTACTAAGCCCTTGTGTCGTTACTAGCCATTCCCAGAGCATGCCGCTAGGCGTGCTAACTGCGGTATAGGGTATATCCCGTTCTCGCATAAGGATTTAATAGAAGCCATCCATCAAATCCATGGACGAAAAGATGGTACTCTTTGACATACCATCAATGATTACGTCTTTCCTTGGTATCGGCGTCTGAGCCGGTACCGTTGCAGCATTCAACTTGTTAAATGCATGCACTATCCGCCACCCTCCAGTTGCTTTTCGCACACAGAAGGTCGGAGAGCTATGTGGGGAGTTGATTCCCTCACATGGCCCGCAGCTAAACGATCGGCAAAGAACTTGTCGATCGCAAGTACTTGCTCACGAGGCAGTGGCCACTGCTTCATGACACAGTACTTCGAGCCTGGTTTAAGCTCGACCTCGTGTCGAATACCTTTATCCTTCGGTAATTCGCACGGAACAGTTTCAGGGATTATATCCTTGAATTCAACCAAATCTTCATAGAGAGGATTTGTCTTGAGCGATTCCCACGATTGGGAGTCATACCGCTTAACTCGTGTCTTTTTCATCTAGGACACTCTCGTCCATAGATGAACTACTGAGAACTCTCTCGTTCTCAGTGAACACTGTTCCTGACCTTATGTCGGCTACACACTCGTCGTCAGCGACGAGTACGCAGATCTGCTTGACTTTGCCACTACGCAGATCACGCAAGAACCTTTTATGTTCGAGCGTTGGCAACTGAGTGATCTCCGAAGTCAACTTCGGAGGCGCAATCAGATCAAGTGTATAAGCGCCTACACTTGATACGTTATTGACTATGACATTTAATGTCTCTGTCATTTCCTGGGGACTTATTTTCTCAGGCTTCGAAGGGCTTATTCCTTCGGCTTCCCGGGGACTTATTCCCGCGGGTTTCGGGGAACTTATTTCCGCCGTATTTGTAATATCGGGACTTATTCCTTTTACTTCCTCTAGCTGTGGTTGCGCAACCACAGTGAGATCCTCTACGAAAGACTCTCCAGTCGATCTAGGATTATCGTTTCGCTTAACCTGAGCGATCGATTGTTTCTCTTCTAGATGTTCCCCGCTAGGGTTACATCTTTGTCCCGGTCCACTCGACTTATTCGAGTGGTGGACCTTCGGCGCAGCCTGTGTTTCCTCACAGCCGCCGGAACTTTGCTCCGAAGTGTAACCGTTTGTTACACTAAGGTTTTGTGCAGTCATACTAACGACCGTACCACAAGTGAGGCCATCGCACTCACTCGTAGTACATCCACACGCTTGTGGACGCTCCAAAACGTTCATCAGATGGCCATCTGATGAACAAGCGGCAGGCATCGTTACTTTTCGATGTTGCCAGTTTACCCGTGGTTCGTACCTTCTGAGCCACGGTATTCCAAGGATGACATCAAATTTGTCATCCAAATCCAATACGATAAAGTCATCGTCGTATTGGGTATCTTCTAGCGTATAGTGGATCTTCACTATACGCTTCATGACGGTTACGGATGCGCCTGTCGCAAGACGTACCGTCATCCTTGTAGGAGGTGTGTCACATTCAACAAACTTGAAGTGACCATCTTCTAGCGATTGACGTTGCACAAGATTGTTGGACGCCCCACAATCGACTAGAGCTCGAAGGGACAACTTATTCGTCACTTCGAGTTTCAAGGTAATGAGTGATATCTCATTACCTAGAGCACCAACGCACAACGTTTGTGTTGGGAGCAATCTTCATCAAGAGACCTACAAATTCTCTTGACGTTGCTGGACCAGTAGATTGCTCCGCACCTACTGATCCTGTCCGTTTTTTGACGGTCCATCCCGTTGTTGCGTCTTTGCACCAACAGCGGACCCGCGTCCCTGCCCCTTTCTCATGGGTGGACGGTCATTACGCCCAGTGTTGCGAGACACTGGACGAGGAGCACTACACTCGTAAGCGTAGTGTCCTGTCTTTTGACATCTGTTGCATTTCTGCAACTTCTTGTAGTCTGTAGAGCGAGCCTTCTCGCTCTCTACATAACAGAGTTCCATCGGCTCTAAACCTCCGTTGTCATATCGTCTCGGTTGACGATATGATGTGGAGCTGGCGCGAGCCTGTCTCAGACTGAAGTCTTCCTGTTCCGCAATGGAAATGGCTTGTTCTAGTGAATCTAGTTCAAGTCGGAACAGGTGAGTCTTGACGGGACCATCCGCAAGACCCTGCATGAACACCGACACCAACGTGTGTTCATCCACCGGATTGGAACTTATACAACTCGTGAGATGTCGTATATGTTGCGCGTAAGCGTGCACATCACGCTTACCTTGTTTGAGCTTCAAGAGTTCAGTTCGAGCTCTGAACTCAGCTCTAGGCGGTTCAAACGTTTGTCTGAGCCGCGACTTGAAGACTTATAACAACCCAAACGCATATGGGTCGTGCAACTTTAGCCCCAGTGCCCAAGTCTTGGCACGTCCTGCCAGATTTGACTGGGCAAATGAAGCTTGCATATCCCCGTCGTCGATGCGACGCGCCCTTATGGCGTCGTCTAATTCGACGAACCATCTCAAGAGGGAGTCCTCTTCGACTCCCTTATACTTGGAGATGTCAATCTTCAAAGTCTCGGGTCGACGCGAGTGCATCGACCCACCAGCACCAGCCTGCTGCTGTCTTAACAGTTCAAACTGTTGAGCACCCTGTTCTCTCAACAACTCTGCTTGTTGAGAACCTTGTTGGTGAAGCAAGGCTACTTTCTCGCGTCCAGCGTCAAGTTCATTTTGAATGAACTTGGCAATAGTAGCATATGGGGCATCTCTATTGAGATCCTCTAGCATGACGCTAACAGCATGGATACCCATCGTTGAACCCATCCGTTCAACCGCATCCCATTCGAAATCGCTCAAATGGGAGTAGCCGTCACGCGTAGCGTGAAAGGTTTGGTCATCTTCATCATTCAACATATTCATGTTGGATGTGAATGTGGTCCTTGGACGGACTACGAAGTGCTACCAGGTGTAACGGGGCACCCTGAAGCTTGTACTGGTGACAGTACAAGCTACTTATTCTGATGACAGAATAAGGCGGTGCCTCGTAACTTCACGTACACTCGTACGTGCAGAGGAAGACGGTAAGAAGAAGCGAGTACTTGGTTAAAGTAAAAAGTAGAACTGTATTTATCATAGTTAATGTCTGCAATAAATCACTATGTATCTTCATCTAACTATGTCTAAATACAAATGTGCATATCACTATCTGCTCACCACTCATTGCGTGCGTCTGTCGTGGCGCGTCTTCGTTGGTTGATATAATGGCCTATATCAACCAATTAGGAGCTACTCGTAAGTGCTGCAGAATATTTGCCCTTATGACAATATTCTGTGAATATAACTCTTATAGTTATATTCTATTAACAATTTCTTATAAATTGTTATGTAACGATTCACCCCGTTACAGATGAGGCAGGTCATCGTCGGGGAGTCTGTACTTGTAGCGCCCAGTCTGAATCTCTTCAATCGTCATCGATTGCAATGTTAATTGCTGCGATGCTGATTTGGACATTCGCTATAGGGTAATTATTGAGTCGCTCATAAAGATCACTTGCAAAAGATCCTTGATACGCAATAAAACGGGCCAAGTTGTCGTTAGTTAAAAATTAGATCGTGGTTGCATTGATCATATTCGGGCTCGAAATTTCGTCGCTACATTTTATGCTGGAAAGCAGACAGTGTACCGAGAATCGGGCGCAGCGATGTGTCAGCAAGCACTCTTGATCGGTCATTTACTGCAAAATAACGTCCCTCAACCCCACAGCTTCACAAAGTCGCATCGAGTTGATCCGAAACGGTATAAAGGACTTAAAGGATGAAGCATTCGGTAGGTGCGCCTTGACAAGTCTAATCTTTTTATTGAGGTGCGCGCAGCTGAAAGCGAACGCCGACTCATAACGTGTACTTCGTCAGGATATGGTTGGCAACCATGCGCGTCGCACAGTTTGGTAATGTAATCTTAATCCCTTTAATGTCAACACGAATGTTGTCCTTTGTGGAGCCCCTTAGGAAAGGCTTGTCGGTATCTGTACAATCGCAATTGTTTCATTTCCTATTTTGAAGGATGGGTATGATGGTACAGCACGTTCTGTTTCTGACGGCTTGAACGCTTTTGGTGCCGTCAACAAATAATCCTGCGAACAATTTGCAGATCGATTGATTTTTCTCGTGACTTTTGCGGACAAGCAGATCATATTTCGAATGCATGGCGGTAATTGGCGGAAAAGCATATGTGCTTTCCATGAAAAATGTGACGGACGTAACCACCTGCTTTGCCCCCATATTTAGACAAATTCTCGAAAAACGTCCTCGAGGGGACTCGAACCCCCAATCCCCGCCTTCGGAGGTCGATGCCTTATCCATTAGGCCACGCGGACATATAAGTAACACAAGTTTACAATATATAATAAAACCATTATTTGCAGCTTTTGCAAATCAAATACTTACCACGTACTTCTCCACTTGCGTTTGCTTAACGTGCTGCACTCATGTATTAGTCTGTTGTTCATTTACACTACCCTGGCAAGGAAGAGCAAGTGCAATAACCACGCATGTAAACCAAAAGGGGAAATGTACAAGGTCCTTTTTCGACACTTTTTTTTCACGGAATAGAGCTCCTAGCACTTGACCTGCTCCCATCTCAGAGCGTTACCCCTGGCACCGACGCACCCGACGCCATGCAATTTGTCGGATGATACGGTGGGTCCGTCTCAAACGACTGGCTGACAGGACTCACTGCGGCCTGTGGCGAGCGGAGCGTGCTCGTGACGTGCATCGAGCGCTGCGAGCGCTCCAGCTCGACCTCCTCCTGCAGCGTGAACTGCGGCTCGACTGGCGCAAGCACTGGGTCTTGACGATGCTGCGACAGAGCACTCGCTGTTCTTGGCATCATGGGTGGACCAGAAGCACCAGGAGCTGCAACGATCGGTCCGGACGGTTTCCGCATAGCCAGCACGGCCTCTTTCTGAGCCCATTCGTCAGCTGTCATCCCTCCTCCTATCAACGGCGTGTTGCCGCCAGCACCCCCACCCCCAGCCGCGTTCGCGTAATTGCTCGCATTAGTGCGCGGGGCTTCGAAAAAGTGCTCACTCGGGCGGTCGAGGTCGTCCGGCTCCTCGCGCTTGCGCGTGCGCACGTAGAACGTGATGACCAGCAGCGCCAGCATCACGACCGCAGCCACAACGACCGGGACGATCCAGCCCGGAGACGACGCCGCCGCGTTGCTTTCCGTCTTGCTGCTGTCAGCCCCAGCAGCTCCTTCGGGGTGGTCCGGCGGCATCGTGCCGTACACGGACGAGATGGCCGACGGGTCCAGAGCTGGAGCCCCGTCCGTTGACGACGCAGACGTCGCCTCGCTTGAAGGTACCGGTGGCGGTGGCGGCACCTCATTTGGAGCCGTTGCAGCAGCTGCTGGCGGCGAAGGCGGCGCTGCCGTCGGCGGGTCCGTCGTGGCTGTTGCCGACTCTGGAGTGTCATTGGCCGGCGTCGGTGGCGTGCTGGGCCGCGACGGGGTCGTTGGTGTCCGAGGAGCAGGCGTCGCTTGCGCCGTCTCTTCTGCCGCAGTGGCCGACGGGTCCGAAGTGGCGGTCGTCAGCTCGGTGGCGGTTGAGTCCGGAGGTCCGTTCGTGCTGCTGGGCGCAGTTGGAGTCGAGATGTCCATCACTGACGGGGACGCGCCCGAAGGCGCGTTCAACTCGTTCCCCGAAGTCGCCGCCAGGTCCGACGTTGTTGCTGTCGTCGTCGTGGCGTCCGTTGGTGGCGGTCCCTCCGCTGCTGGCGCCGTCGCTGGTGACGGTCTCGCTCGGGGCGTGCCTGGAGCGGAAGAGTTGGTGGCGGGCGTCTGAGCCGTGACGCTGAGCGCGAAGACGCACAGGAGGAGCCACAGCCTCGCCACGTACTGTCGTCTCGCACTCATGCTTGTCTCCTTCTTCTCTCGAGTTCTCTCTCTCTCTCTTGATAGGACGACGAGGCAGCGAAAGCTATGTGAGGAAATCGGCCGCTCCTTCGTCTGGTCGTCGTGTTAGCTGGCTGGCTGGCTGTTTACCTATCTATCTGACTGACTGACTTTGACAGCGTCGATTTTGATACTTACTTCTACTCTTAACAAACAAGCAGAGCGGGCGATCACAGGACCCGGATCAGTGCGAAAGTTTGAGTGCGCTGTCTATGGAAATAACCAAAGGGGGGGTACCAGGGCCAGGGCAGGGGAGGGGGCGGTCGAGAGAGTCGGTCAGTCATGTAAAAATCAAGCTCGCTTGAAAAAGACGGCGCAACTTGACAACCCATTGCCAGATGGTGCACGAGATGGACGAACCGCCGTCAGCTGCTTTGTGCGCCGCGCGCCACACAGACATTCGATAGAGCAGTACAAATGCTGGGGCCACTTGCCTACGTTTATACAAAGCCGTTGCTACCGCATCAACACGAAGACTTGTTTATGCGTTCAAGTACGACGATGTTTGCCGATAGACTAAAGCAGCTACTGCTAAAATGCAAGTGGTGTGGATCCTCGTTAACAGGCACTATGTGGTAGAAAAGCCTGTGCAAACACGATAGAAGTTGAACATACGCATCTAGCTTCAATTATTGCTAACTGCATACAAAATCAACGTACTTTTGCCAGGATGGGCAACCCCCTTTAATTTCGTGCCTTCCAAATCCACAAACGCAGATGCCTTGGCGGTCTCTACGCACGTTCTTCAGAACATGAGACACTTGTGGCTACAGACCCGATTGTAGATGGTGCACTTCTTCCAACATAATGACATTGCGAAGATTGCAATACCAGTCACGAACTACACAGGAGATGATCAGGCTCGGATCAAAATGTCATCACTTTATTGTGGAAAGCAACTGCTTTCACCTACGAGAAAGTTTTGATACACCCAGGTTTTAGAGGATGTACGAATGCCGACCGACTATCTACCGATCTCATCGCATTGGTATACTCGCAAGTGCTCTTCGCTCCTGTCTGATCAGGTATCAACAGTGAAACGTCTTGAAGATCCACAGCTGATCGCTTGCGAGTGCAAATAATGCTGATGTATACGCCTTGTCACTCGGATCCATGTGCACTCGTACTGAGCACAACGGGGCACCTGTTACATTCACAAAGCAGGAGCTTCTGTCCGAGCACAATTTGCTCTAGCAAAAGTCAAGTGTCCAGTCATTTGACATTTTCCAGCGCCTCACGCTTCACTTTCCTTGCTCTTTGACAGAGAAGGCCATGATTTAACAGGCTGAAACTGCCAACCCACGAGCACCCACCGAGATGTCAAGTCTCTTTTATGCAACCAATTATAGCTACTTCAACATGATATCAATCCTCACACTGACCAGCAAACAGCAAAACGAAACACCGACGTGCGACATCAGATGAAAAGTCAGAATAGCAAAAGCGACAGTGTTAATGTTGCCAATGAACTGTCAACTGCACCGAGCATTCAATCAGGTTTGGGAGATGCTGATTACAGGAGGCTAAAAAGGTTTTCCGTCCAATTCGTCGTCTATCGGTACCCCATCCAGATCGTCACCATCCAGCGGCTCTCCATCGAGCTCACTTCCGTCTGCATCTTCGCATGATGCCTCACCTTCGTCCGCATCTTCATTCAACGGTTCGCCATCCAGATCTTCTTCATCTGCCAGCTTGCCTTCATCTGCATCTTCATCGAATGGTTCACCATCAAGCTCTTCTTCATCCATCGTCTCGCCGTATATATCGTCATTACCGTCTCCTGTCTTCCCGCCATCGGCAAGACTTTCTCCTACTGTCACCTCATCATTCGGTTTGTCCTCAGAGTCAACAGCTAATGTATCCTCTTTCTTCACTTTTCCTGCTATCACAGCACCAGCATGACTCGTTGCTACGCCCGAAGTGCCGACTCCGTGGCTCAGTTGGGCACTAGGTTTGTTTTTTGCTACTGCCTGCCCTGAGCCACTCAACGTGGTCGGCGTAGTAAATTCCTTGAGCCATTGTAGACGAGCTACTAGCTGCTTTGCGTCTCCAGTACTTAAAACTCCCGATTGTCGGCACGTCTTCCGTAGACGACCTAGATCTGCTTCCACGATGCCGTCAATTCTTATATTGCTTACAGCAAGGTACTCGTCTTCCTCTGTTTTACGTAGGAATGTAGCGTGGAGACCCAATAGCACAGCAGGGGGAAATAGACTCCAGCTCTCCCACGCAGACAGCACATCCATCACCTTTTCCTTCATCGCATTTGCAGACATGCGACCACCGATGTTCTTATGTACACATCGCAGCTTTTGCATTATATCGGGTAGACATTCTTCAAATGTCGTGCGAAAGAGCGATGCGTTCTTCACAGCAGCCGAACTGTTGTGCAAAATGTCGGACGTCACATACAAAAGGCCAACGAGAGCGACTCCATTCGACGATGAGCTCTTGAACGATTCTATCATGATGCTCACCAAATCCACTGCTGCTTCAGATTTGTCCAAAGCAAAGCCCATGGCTTGTTTCACCGATTCCCTCTCCAGCGTTAATCCATCCAGCATTTTCTTAAACTCGTCATAGTCTTCGTTAGATAGTTTGTCCCGCTCTCGGCCTCTTGCCACATCGCGCGCACGTGCAATTTGTTGTCCGGTCAGCAGTTCTTTATTCTTTGCCACGCAATCTCCTTCCTGACCTCTTGAGCCATCATCACGTCTATTCCGTCGACTCCGTTCATCACGCTTGTCGTTCTGCAACTTGTCGTTTTGACGCGGACGCGAGCGCGATCGACGACTACGTTTTCGTAAGCTTGAGTTATCGGACGACCATGAACGACTACGACGACCGCGACCTCTGCTTCTTCCGCTGCGCCTGCGGCTGCGGCTTCTCCGATAATCGCGATCTTCGTCAGAGCTGAACGAGCTGCTGCGACGACGGCTGCCTTTTTGACTTTTTTGGCGAGGTCTTCTAGGACTCGGACTGAAACTACGCGACCTGCTCCGGCTATAACTTCGGCTTTTGCTGAGATTTCTTCGATACGACCTGGTACTTTTGTCGTGGCGGCTCCGTCCAGACGACCGAGACGTAGATCCCCGACTTCTACTTCGACGTGCTCGGGGAGGCATTTTTGGTGGTACCCAAAACGGGGCATCAGCAGTCATCTGGAATGCTGTTTCACGCCATGACTTTTCGCCGTCTCCCATCGCAAACGAGTAGACTCTCCACCGGTAATATAATGCGGTAGCACACTGAGGGTCAAACAGAAAAGCATAGTCCTTGTTGTTCGCTTCACGCATGCGTACAGCATTTTCAAACTGAAGTCCATCGGTTGCAACGTAACGCGCAAGGCGATCTACGCGCCGCCTGATTTCTTCGGTCGGTACTTCGACCGTTATAGTCTGCTTGACCGGCAACTCTTGCTTAGCAGTAGACTCAACTTTCGCGGCTGTAGCAGATTGAAAAGCCACTACAGGCGGAAGAGGTACTTCAACCGCGCGTTTACGAGGCTGAATCGCAACAGCTTTGCCCCATCCGACGATCATAGGCTGACCCTCCAACTGCACGAGTAAGCCAATGTTACGTCAGAGCACTGCACACGAAGAGCAACGTGGCACTACGAACCTCCTTGTTGTCTAGATTGACGCGGGCATCGTCAGCGTCGCGTCGCTCATAGAAGCTGACAAAGCCGCAGTTTCGTTTACGAGCACGCTCTTCTTCTGACCGTGGCCACATAATTTTTACCGAGTGTACTTCTCCGTACTGTTCGAACTCCGCCTGCAAGTAAGAGACAAAGACACAGCCATCAGACCCTATCTACTCTTTTTTTTCAAACTGACACCGCGTTGTGACGAACCTCCAGGACTTCCTCCGTGACTGACGGCGCTAGATTTCCCACATACAAATTCGTCGTCTCTGGGTTTCCATCATCAAATGACCCTTTCGCCAGGCCACTTCCCTCAAGCGAAACTGGCGCCGGGCCTCGCTCCTTCATCTCTTCTAGAAACTCGTCAATTGCTCGTCGTTTCTTGTGCTTCTGCATAGGCAGATCTTTCTCGCTTTGCTGCACCTTCTCTGTTTCTTTCTGCTTGAGTTTGAGCCTCATTGTGTCCGTTTCCGACACTTTCAACTGCTCTATTCCTCCAGCAAACCCAGAAATGGACCCTGTCGTCACCTCTTTAGCCTTCAGGCGGTACATCTCTCCACGCTCTTGAGTCTGCTGTTGGTTATCTAGAGCTGCTGTCGACCGTACAAACGTCTTGCCTTGAGTCTCGTCGTCATTATCAAACGACGCTACGAACGTGGCGTAAATCTTGGCAGCCTCTTCTTCCGCCTGTCGCTTCCTGGTTTCACGATCTTCTCGCTCCTGAAAAGCACGTAATGCGTGTGAGAAAGAAGCGAGATACAAACACATGATACTTTCTAGAACCACAATTCCAGCACCTTCTGGAACTTGGTCTTCTTCTGATGGCCCAGCACGAAGCGCGCTAACTTGTCATCAGTCAGAGACGTCAGTGAACTAGGCTGCATCTCGGTCTTCTCCATACCCCACGGCAGCTGCGACTGAGGGGCCACAGCGGGCAGCAGCGCGTCCGCCTCGTCTTCGACGCGATTTCGACCCATCGGCTTTAATGATGTGAGCAAACGTTGTGTGCGCCACGTCACCAACCTCAAAAATGATTGATACGCCGCAGTTAAGGTGACCAACATCAAAAACAGTGATTGCCTTCACGCCTATATTTGTGGTTCACATCCTCGCTTGCATACGATCTCTCGATATAGCTACGTTCCGACCTGTCACTTCCACCTAGACGAGTGCTCATAGCTAGCTGCTAGCTACACGTCTGACAAACACCATGGCATGACCTCCTGCTTCTTGCACAGCCTAATCCTGGCGCGTCAGTAGCTTCTTCGACGTGATACCTTTGGGTGTAATGATGTGCACGACGGCGCCCCAGCCAGAGAGCGCGTCGCGGTTGCAAGCCGACAACAGACACTGCGAGAGTGTCTCGAAGAGATCCTCCTCTTCCATGTCAGGTCTGTACATGGACTCGCACATGCCGTAGAGCGCCTCCTCCATCGTTCCAGCAACGACAAAGTCCTTCGTCATCATCTCACAGCCTAAACAGTCCATACTGGACAGAAAAGGCTCGTTGTCCTCGGTCAAGCCAGCAACGACGGGCTCAACGAACCACGGGCCGAACCTCTTCTCGTACATCATATTGGACAGCAGCGCACTCAGAGTCTTGGGCTTAATGTCCCGCTCCTCGTTCATCTTGTACATGTTGATCTTGAACTTGAGCAGCTGCGAGACGGACTGCACGTCGGTGGCCAGGCCCGCGAGGCCCAGAAACGTCTTGTCCGTCACACGAAACACCTTCTGGAAGTCCATGGCCACGGTCTGCGCCTGCAACCCTAGTCTCGTGTCACTAGAGGTGTCCATAATGACAAATCATTCCGTCAGCGACGTCGATAGGCCAACTTTAATGCTCAATAAAAGGCGTACCATGCAATACCAACACAATCTTTGCCTGCCATGGCGATGATTGCGGCTCCATTGTACGATAAAATGGACTAGTCGGGGACAATAGGAGCAGAGGGTTAGAGAGGGAGATCATTTAGAGGCTCAAGCTCGTATGAGCTGTAGCGTTGACCACGCGAACACACAGACTCGTACCATAACGTCTTCGAGCTGCTCGCACCAAGATTTTCTCTTTTTATATTCCCCCTTGTGGAAATCTTGAGAATGTTGCGCTAAGGTGACGATAGCAAAACCGTCTGCTCTGGGACGCTAAAACTGGTCACTCATTTGCTGTTGAGCAATTCGATAGGATTTTAGTCTTTTGCAATTATGCGCCGGCCGACTTTTTTAAATGAAAATGCCATAGGTAACTAGATATTTTACATTTGTTCTAGCGCATAAACTAAGCTAAATCGCTGTGGCGTACACATCATTTTGGAGTAGCAGCATGTGCGAGTATCTTTCGATCTCTCCATTTCACCTCGATATTCAGATTCTGCATTACAATTTCTAGAACCTTTTTTTAGTGGCATATCTACGTTTTGTGGCAAAGTGCACATCAGCATGGCTTGTAATACTGAGTACCAGCACATGGTTGATGCCTTTTACCACTTACAAAGGTGACGATAGCCCATAGGTGGAACGTGTCGCAAGCTGTCGATAAATCCAGAAGTGCGGATGAAAGCCACAACGATTCTCGTGACGTTCACAGCCCAAAACCCAGCCCTGAGTCCGCTTTCATTGCGACATCCTCCCAGATTTTACAAGTTCACTGAGCGTTGGGTCATGGTCGCGGTCGACGTGTACGCTCTCGGGATGTCATTTTTCGAAAAGCATATCGTCAAGCATTTGATACGGTTACTTGTTCGAATTCCCACGTTTTTCTCCGTTCGATCGTGAAAGGTACCAGATCTCTCTCTTAGCACAGATGGTCACGTTGCTGCTGCGAGTTGGGAACAGTTCGTGACAAGTACAGGACGTAAGAAAAAGCAAAGCACACTACAAACGGGACAGCAGAGAAATTCAGCGCTGGCTGTGCAATCTGTGACGTGATAGTCCCTTGTTTCGAACCCTGTGACGTGGTTTTTGGATACATTTTCGGAAAATCTGCCGGTGCGAAATCGGCTATTTTAAGCGCTTTGTATCGCACACGTCCAAAAGCCGTGTTTCTTGTTCGATAATCTGCGCTTTTTCGCTCCGTCGACGCCAAGAGTCGCTCTTTTTCCCCCGCTCGCTCATTCGTCGCCTCTTCCTTCTTTTCCCCTTTTTTTCTTTCGATTCGGCTTTTTCCCCGTGTGTTTTCCCTCAACATTGAACTGTACCCACAACGCCAACCGCGTGAACCAGACAACCGAAGCGTCACTTTTATTTTTCCAAACACCAAAACACACACGTCGTCGTTCGTGTTCCCGAATCGCGATACAATAGACCAATCCCAACACCAATACCACTAACAATACCCATACCCATACCACTAACAACAACAGTAAGAAGAAGAAGACTCATATCCATCGTACATCAACCATGGCGACGACTCTCGTCCCTGCGCCGCCGTATATGCTGGGCCAGCGTCCGTCGCGCGCCCCCACCTCCTACTCGTGCGTGCCTTCCTTCCGTCAAGTGCCGTTTGTCCGCATCAGCGCCCGTGTGGACAGCGGGGTCAAGGTCCGCAAACAGCTGCGCAAGTACTTGAAAGCAGCGTCGGCCACGCAGCAAATGGTGGCGCAAACGCACTTAAGCGACGCCTGTCTGCCGGCGCTCCAGCCGCAAGAGGTCGCGCAGTCGTGTTTCCAGGCCTTTTTCAAGCAGATGCGGACGTACAGTCAAGTGCTGGGCACGAAGCACTTGGCCGCTAGTAAGGCGTATCTGGACATGACGAAGCCGCTGGAGAACTCTGGAAAGTCGAGGCGCTGGGCCAAGGACGTGTACAACTTGGTCCAGCGCTGTGTCGCGGACGTGCACGTGGCCGAGAAGAAGATGGACAAGGCCAGGAGTCGCGTCGTGCGGGCGGCAGATGACCTTGCGCACTGGAAATCCGTCTTTTCAGCTAACGAAGCCACGTTACAAGTACAGCCAACTAGCCCGGAAGTGAAGAAAGCGTTTCAGGCTGCCCAGTGCCGCTTTTCCAGCGCAGTGGGGGAAGATGAAGCAGCCGGGGTCGAGTATGACGAGGCACGGACTTGTTTGATACGGGCCGTTGCCAGGCGGGACGAAGTCGTGGAAGAAGCGACGGATTTGTCGCAAAGTGTGGAGGAAGACCGATTGGATACACTGCTGATCGTCATTGGACAGTTTGTCGAGACGAAAGTCGCGATTCTTCAGGCAGAAATCGAAGTCATGACGGACTTACAAAACACGCTCAAAGCGATGGACCGCAACTCGGTTGTCCAGCAGTATATTGTGGACAGCATGTCACCAGGATTGACGCACCGTCATGCGAAGGCTCTCGGGTTGATGGAATGGCATCGCGTGTCGTGGCGATACGAGCAGCAATTGCGGCAATCAGCTGATCCGGGTAGCTGCTTGGCAGGCACACGCTCTTCCAAAGAACTAGCAAAGCTCAAGGCTTCGGGAGTATCGGAGAAGGATGTCGAGATTATCAAGGACTTTGTCTCGAGCTGCTTCATTGAACCTGAGGCAGCTCTCGTTTCTCATACCGCTCAAGCTTCTTCCGGTACTATTTTATCACTAAAACACCGCAGCAAGTTTACGGATGCATCAGCTTCAACCACGCAGTCGGTGTATCGCCTCGGGGTCGTGCGACGGATTGTTTTAGATTGCCTCAGGCACCAGCGAGTGCACGATCGCGAACTCTCACGGGACGGTTTTTCTCGACTTGCAGTAGCGTTGCGATATCTGTTGGATGCCTGTGTTGCACAGCATGACACGCGCACGACAATGCACCTTATGAATATGCTACAGACTTTCTACCGCAAGACCAGCAAGGATGGTCAGGAGTATCTCCATGCAGCGTTGATAGATCATGCGGCGTGGCGAATAGCTGGGTATTGGGGAGACGCGTTGTTGGAAAGCGTGGCGGAGGAATTTAATAAGGCACCAATGGACACACCATGGTATTATCTGGCCGATGCTGAGCGTGCGCAGAAGGTGCTAGATGTGCACAATATCATCTTCGGCCAGGCCTCGGCTTATCTGTATCATCTGTCCAGCTTTGGCTTCTCTCGACGGCAGCTGCTCCAATACGCGCACAGTGTGTGCTATGCATACGAACTGGGCGAAGAGCAGCGCATTAGTCTATACTCATCAGTTCGGAGCATGGTCCTGGACCGATCGCAAGAGGACGAGTACGAGGAGAAGCGGCAAGAACCGATGGAATGTGACGACGACGATTGGCAGCACACTTTTGAACGTGACAGTAGGCAGTCCGACCGTGCTAGCAGCCGGGTTCCTGCCAAACGGACTGCCGATGTGCAGTTTCCGCCGACGTCATGCGCCCCACCGGACTGGTCGTCGTTCTCAAGTGGCGGTGGAAGCAGTGATGTTGGTTTCGATAGCAATGTGTCAAAATTTGGCCGCAAACGTAGGGAGTCGACCGCATCGACTGCAGCAACAATCATGGAGGGATCAACTTCGGCATCTTACGTTGGCAGTTTGCGTGATTTTGAGGACACGAAAACGATTGCATCCACTGTGATTGGCGAGGATGGCGATGAGTCATGGGAGAATTTGTTCGGGACAACGGTCGCATGCAGCACTTTGACAGAGAACGAGTCGATATCGTCAGTTTTGGGCGTTGATGAAGACACGTCTGAGTCTAGCGAGAAGCACAAGGATAAAATGATGAAGCGGCGCAAGAACTCGCGCAAGTTTAACGACCAGTTACGGCTGGCGCGCACCATACCCCTCAGTCTTCGCATTCATGAGGAGGAGGAAGAGAGCGTGCCAGTACCCACCGCAATAGCAGCAGTACATTCACATGCAAGGAAAGAATTCGAGCAGCCACCGGTACCACCTGGCCGTCCGCCGGCGTCTGCCGGAACTTTGCTACGCCACCGTTCGAGTGACAATATCTTTATGGCGGCGCGAAGGGAGACTGGCGATCTGCCACCTACACACGGGACTCATTCGCATGTTTTGAGACACGACTCCGGTATAGCCACCGACGAGAGCGGAGGCGCGAGGATAGAAAGGAGGAGACATCGGAAACTGCACAAGGCTCGGTCCGTCGCGAGCATTGACACATCCGTCTTACGAGCGGAGACCCAGCAGGCGTTCAATACAAGCCGCAATACCATTGATCCAGCAGACCAGATCAAGATGATGGCGGCTCGGATGAAATCGAGACGTGAAGAGAATTCGGACGGCAAGATCGATTTCGTGGCGTTTGCACGCACCCGAAGTGATGCTACCGGATCAACGTGTCCGTCTCCTGCAGCACTATCGCAAGAACTCTCATCTACATCTACACCAAAGAAGAAGAAGAAGGAATCAAGAACACTCTCAGGTGTCGCAGCTCTGCGCGCTCGCTTCGAGAACAAATGAAAGCAACAAGTAGAATGACGCGCTTTCTCCATTCCCAATATAGACAGCACCGCAAGGCATGACACTTCGGGACAGCTGGTTCGTAAAAGTATCTCCTCTCTCCAACCTTGGCGCCGCGCTCTTCCTCTCCCCCTCTCCCTCTCTAGAACCGTCCACCAGTCTTGGGCGCCTTGCCTTGGTACTTGTTCGGTAGCCCAAAGTCGGCCTTGGTGTCGCTCGTGTGTACAAAGATGCGACCGCACACGGGCATAATGTCCCACTCGAGTCGGAGCGTCACATTAGCACCGCGCAGCTCGTCGTGTTGGTCGGCCAGAAAGTACTTGACCCCCTCGTCCTGGAACTGGAGCATGCTCGCGTCTTCCTTGGTCTGCACGATCTTGTCCCAGATCACCACCTGGTTGCGGATGTTGCTGGCGCTCTCGAACTCGGCCACCACGTACACGAACAGCTGCTTGACGTTCCAGTTGAACACCGAGCTCAAGTCTATTGGTTGCCGCCCCCATCGCATCAAACGTACATAACAACAAACAACACATCGTCAATAACCGACAGGTTACATACCAGTTACTTCATCCGTGTACTTCACGCACCAGCATCGAGGTCGAACGACAGCGTGGCGCGGTCGACGTTGTCGCGGTAATTGCGCAGAGAGTGGAGCTTGACGAGGTCGAGACGGCGCACGACGGGCGCGGACTCGTGCAGATACGTGCTGAACGAGGTGAGTGTGCACATGACCGCCAGCGCCATGAGCGACGTGAAGAACGCGGAGTTCGCGCGCGTCCAGACCGAGTACATGCTCCTAGCTGCTACTTTAGTTGTGGCGAGTGACGTACGTCTGGCAGTGCGATTGGTTGAAATGTTAAACGGTATCTAAATGCGGGGGGGGGGGTGAAATCGTTGCTCGACCACGGCTAATTCGTGGCTCGATAGAGCTAAAAAGGCTTGAAGTGGGTCGTAATTAGTATGACAACCCGTGTCACGAGATCTTTACTTTTTACGGCAAAATTTCGATTGATTGATGGTGCTAAAACGTCAATGGTTTCGGTTTCCAAGAAAGCTAGTAGATTATGGCAGCAAAAAACCCTCGCAACTACGTCGACGAGTACAGTGTAAATATGACCATCAGATCCGTCGTGAATGCCAGGCATCGTAGTCCAAGCAGCATACTTTGCAGCAGTCTCGGATACCATTTTAGTCATTGGGCAAAACGCTGCGGAAATATCTATAGCAGACACTGGGTGGTGGAATTATAGCTACGCCAATGCGCTCAAGTTAAATTATCTGGTGTCTGATTACTAGGCCAGAGAGCTCGCTTCGTGGAAGTGTAAAAGCATGTGTCGATAGTTGGTATCTCTACCAACTCGCAGCAGGTAACAAGTGGATAGGGTAATCTGTTTGGGTAGACTGTGCAGCTAAAGAGAAGTTCTTCGGCGGGTCAACAGTTTTCGTGATCCCCTGTTCGATCGTAATTTGTGACTTTTGAATATGGTTCGCACGCACGCCAGTGCAGCATTGCTATACAACGCATGGTATGCGCTTGAGCTCAGGCATCTGAGGAGCACTTGCACAAAATTCCCAGTCTCCATTTTTCAAGTTGTTACTAGACGTCGCGCGTTCGCTTGATCACAATGTATAGGTCGACCTGCACGGAAAATGATCTGATTCTAGCGCTAAGTTGTCGATTTTTGGCCGCACAGGTTTGGCTTAAATCTCTGTCAGCTTGCCAGACTCATTGACCAAAATAGAGCAAGGTCTATGACTGACGTTTTGATAGTGCGCAGATAGCAGAGTCTTGGTATCGTGAAGAATATGGAGTCGAATATCGAGAACGCGTATGCTCTAGGCCATCAGCTGACAAATGGACGACCTGGCACGCGACATTATATGCGTGCTTTAAATATGAATTGCACACATCGAAGGGTGTCTAGCGTCCAGCTTGACAAGTAGGGCTCCGTCCCGCAACGTCCTCTCCCGCGGGATCCTGCATCCTGTCCTGTGTGGGACGGGACGGGACGCAGGATGAGCCGGTCCCATCCCTCGCGTCTAGCACATTTCGCATTCTATGATCGTTAGTATGTCAGTCGAGATTCTATTAATTTTCTACACTCACAAAATTTTCTGGAAATTAAGAGAGCGTAAATGAAAGCGTCATCCATTTTACATGTACATCTTGATAAATTCAGCTTTTATTGTCATTTTTTGACCTTTCTGCCAAGAAATGCACCCAGGCATTCTAGGTGCTTGCAAAGAGAATTTGGCTGTCTTTGACGACGATCTAATGGACATCCTTAGCCTATCGGGGCCTCGCGACTTCAATCTATGGTGAAGGAGAGTGTCCTTTAGTAATCACTTGATTGCTCAAAAGCCTCGCCAATAGGTTAAACGATTCCACCAAACGTCAAAGTCGCCTATAAGCAATCGCATTAGCTCAGCATATTTGGCCAAAATCGTGCTTCAAGACGTCGCTACTCAGACTAAAAGTCTACGGCATTAATGTTGATGCATGTGGGAAACCTTGATAGTGTCATTACCACCACATTTAAAATGAGCTCTTCTTACATGAGTCTGCCATCAGCAGCACCGATCAGGGTCGAGTGGATAAGGCACTGAGCTCTCACTCTTAATGTAGCAGGTAAGCATTGATCACGTAGAAAACAGTTGCACCGCCTGATCATGTCCCGCACTCTTTAGTCTTCTCGACGCACATGGATGAGATGACGTGTCTACAGATCTGGTCGTTTCAAAATACATGTAGTGTAAATATTCAATGATCTTGTCCCGCATATCCTGCGTCCCATCCCGTCCTGCGCAGGATGGGACGCGGGAATGGCCAATCTCGCCCTATCCTGCGCGGGATGGCAAGTACGAATGGCACCAAGCAAATTGTTCTACATGATCAGTTGCGGATATACCAGCTGCGAACGATGGCACAATCCTTTACAGTGCAAACTCGCGTATGCATCTGTGCATCGAACATGAGGCGTTACAAAGCCCTTGACAAAGTCATGACAAGCGCAGGTAGTGCGAAAACTTCAGTGCTTTTACAACGACACGTCTGGATATCTCGTGTCGGCGCGAGTGACGACGGAGAAGTCACACATTGCAACATCCCCTGGTTGCAGACCGAATAAAGCGATGCCTTTCGAATACCAACAACGACCTACGCAATCCACTTGACCTTTGTCCTCTCACGCAGCGTTGCCTTTTTCTAAAGCTCGCCAATGGTAGGTCCAGCAGTCACTACCTCGAACCGCTCACGCTGCATGCTTTTCAGTCGGTACCCATTGCAAAAATCTAAAGCAAATCCAACCTTGCGACCTGCTTGCTGCAGCTTTGAGATCAACAACCACGAATCGCTTGCACATCGTAGCCAAATCACCTGCCGTTGTTTTTCGAAGAAAAATGTCCCAGCGGTTGCTTGTCCGTTGCAGCTCTCGTCAGCACGAACTAAAGTGGAAAAAGCACAGAGAGACACGCCGTGAGCGATTAAACGACGCTGAATGCACATCACACAAGACGCACCAACTTGCAGCTCGTCAGCCGTTGGTAGCCGGACCTCAACTAGTTTTACCATCTTTTCTCGGAATTGAACGGTTATGCCCACAGAGTTGCTCAGTGCCTGCCATCGCTTGTAAACCGGAATGTGGTAACGTAAAGCACGATCAGAGAAGATCACGCGATGAAGCATGAACGTGTCAAATGTCCTTACGTGAAAAATGACGGTAGCAGGGTCATCAAACGAAATATGACCATCTTTCGACACGAATTTGGAGGCCGTGGAGGCACAGGTGTCGTCCTGCACAATAGCCTCCATCTTGCGTGCAGGCAGATCAGCTAGCGATCTCAAAATACTATCCGCACCAAGCGCTGCAAGTTTCTGCGTTAGTCTACCGAGCACAAAAAGAAGAAAAAACCTTAGCCACCAACCGTTTTAGTGTAAGAGGATAGAAACAGCAGCTTCGCCGTACTCCTGGCATTGCATGCCGGGCTTGATATCGTAAGGTCTCTGAAGCAGAACGCGGCCGACGTCAAAGGCTTTCGGATCGATCTCAATTACGGACACTCCTGTTGTTGTGTCGCCATTCAAAAGTGCATGCTGAATAGGAGCAGGACCGCGGTACTACGTATACAGCCACGTCGCCACAATATGAGCACAGCTACTCCAATCCATCAAGTAAAACGCAGCTTATTTCTCTCACACCTTCGGCAATAGCGACGGATGCATGTTAACGGCACCATAATGAAGGTTCTTAAGAATATTCGGGTGCTGCAAAACGATTCATCACCACCAACAACGAACGAGCTATTAACTGAGCTCAAGCGTGCGTAAGTCAAGCACAGTGAGTCACGAACGTACCAAAAAGTATCCAAAAGACACAACAACTCCAACGTCAAACCAGTCCGCCACAGGAAAGTCCCACGTCTTAAGTGACTTTAAATGCGACGGTGTGTCAAAGATTTTGAGTCCGCTACGCTGGGCAAATCTCTTGACAGGCACCGGCTCGTCCTTCTTGCGGCCATTCACGGGTCGATCGGATGGACACACCACCTCAATGTGCTCAATGAGGCGGCCACCTTCTTGCTCGCTCTTCGTGCTGCAAGCTCAGCCACAAACGCAGGTAAATGAGCCCGTCGCACAGGAGCCACTCGTGTAAAAGGGCGAGAAATAGACACCCACCTATTGGCGTGCAGGGACTCGAGCGTCACAAGCGACACGTCGTCGGTGCCAAAGAACAAGACGCGATAGGGCGGACTCCCACGCACGGCGAGGGAGAAGCGGCGGCAAAGCTTCGATTGCCATGCGTGATTAACGACTGGACGACGTCCAGGTACCATATGGGTTTGCGTAACGCCTGTCACGTATTGGCTCTCCCTCCCTCTCTCTCTTTTACTTTCTCTATGTCGCTGACTCTCTGCCTCTTCTAACCAGTTCCACGAATAAAAGACTCGGAGCAGACTTGGAAATTCATGCGTTCTTTACTTGTCTCATTTGGTATTCTTTCTAGTTACATACGTACGTACGTACCTATCTCCCACGTTTGACACGTTCGACACGTTTGTTACTTTACTGAGACGTTCACATTGTAAAATGGACTCGCCCAGCACGAACTCCTCGAGCCAAAAGACATCCACTGGAGCCTCGAGAACGAAATTGCCGGCACTCTCGACGACGTCGTTGACACCTCCAGAGCCTGTGCAGTCGTCGAATACGTCATACACTGCCACTCAGTCGACGCCGAATGCACTCGCGATGAAAATGGCGTCGCAAATGCCGCCCGTGGCAATGGCACCACCGCTGGGACATGTGAATCTCATCCAGTCACGCCTTCCTGGAGGCAGCAACATGCCGATTGGTCCACACGACATGTACCAAAGCGGACCGCCCGGCGGTGACCCGAACCACCCGATCGTGACAGTCATGGCCATGGCCCCACCTGGCGTCTCGGGCGACGCTCAGGTCGACAATGTGCGCTTTACGTGTCTGCAGCAATGTCGGTGGATGGCAGGCTGCTTGATGGCGTATTACGCGGTCACGTTTTTGTTCTTACAGCCATTTGTGCTCGGCATATTGGGTCTATTCACGGCGTTCATCGGCTACAACGGCTCTCGGTCGCCTGTTGGCATGCATCGGTACAAGTGGCTTTGCTGGTACATTCGAGCTACCTACGGCATGTTGGTCCTCAACATGTGGATGCTCATCGTGACTCTAGTCTTTTCGGGCGCCCTCTTTAGGCCTGACAGCGAAGTCACTTATGGCAGCCTCAATAGTGACGATGACGACGTGGCGAGCTCGACGTCCCTCCACACCAAAAGCGCGAGTCTCGTAATTGGAATCGTCGTGGCGATCAACACGGTTTTCCATTTGCGCTGTTTGCGCATGGCGAAACTCTTGGCCGCCGAGCTCTTGAGTGCAGGAGTTGACCGTGAGCCAGTTCCTAGCCTAGTGGTTGCACCGGCGAACCCCGCCTCGGTCGTGTAAACAGACGGGACGTCCGTCGTTAATTCGAAACATTTGAAGGAGAACACACATGGCAAAGGGGAGTAGTGAAGCCGGTGGAACAAAAAACGGACTCTTGGACGGGGGAGCTGTCATCGTGACTATACAAGTATGTTCCTTATCTGTGTGTATACATGTATACACCAAAAGAATACATTTATATTTACCAATCAATGACTTTGAAGGCTTTAGTGTCTCGGTCGATGATTTTTAATTGGTGGAGACCTCCTCACAAGGCGTTGGTTCACATTCGGCAATTGCTCGTCTCAGGAACGTTCAGACCCATCATGACAACCATTGATAGCGGAGGTGCGTGGTTTTGTGCATATTCGGACACTAAATGTCCAGTCAGAAATAGCTCGTGGTGATGAAGCTCACAAAGTTTGTGGCGCGTTTGCTTTGCTGATATAATAGAAAAACACCCGATGACGAGACTGAAAGAAGACGTTGATCACGTTTACGGCAAAGTGGCCGACATGGATGCTGCAGTCTCGGTGAGTAGTTCATTTGTATGTATTTTATTATCGTTATCTGTACTAGTCGCACCCTATTGTAGTAGGGGTAGTGCTAATCTAGCTATTCGTGGAAGTAGTATAGTTATTGCGCTACAATGGTCCTAATCGCTGTGTCGTTGTTTTCCGATCTTTATTGGTTCTGTGTGTGTGCAGACTGAGCTGCCCACTGAAAGCGGCATGACTTTCTTACAAGTGAAGAACCACGCGCTACTGACGTATACCAAATTGGAGCTCTTCTTTGCTCTGCTAAAAGTATATTAACCGATAGAATACTCACTTTGCTTGGTAGACGTGCTGTTGCTAACGTGACTGTGGCTTTGTTGTAGCTAGAGAAGCCTGGAAAAGTAAAAGATCATCCTGTGTTTAAAGAACTTGTACGCTATCGCACGCTGTTAGAGCGCGTTCGTCCTTTGGACCGCAAGATGAAGTATCAGGTGGACAAAATGCTCAAAGTGGCGCTATCTGGCGGCAAAGATCTGGACGAGTCCCTGAGCTATGCACCGAATCCGGAGCAGCTTGCTGCTGATGGTGGACAGAACGACGATGAGGAAGATGACGATGGTGGCTCTAGTGCTAAGAACGGTATTTACCGCGCGCCGCGTCTGGCAGCGGTTCCGTACGAAGAGGAGGAGCGTGAGCACGTTAAGCAGGCTAAGAAAGACGAGCGAAATCGCAAGCGTTTGCAGAAGAGTACTATACTGGCCGAATTGCGAGAGGAGTTCAGTGAACGTCCTACGGAGATTTTGGCCAGTGGTACAAGCGTCGTTGACAAGGAAATCGCGCGTGAAGAGAGTGAAAAGAAGGATTTTGAAGAATCTCGCTTTGTGCGTGTGGTCACGTCACGTAAAGACAAGATTCGCAAGCGGCAGCGAGAGATGGAGGCTAATCGCGCCGACAAGGTTGGGTCGATTGACAACTTTGCCTCGGTTCAAGATATCTTGTCGTTGGACAAAACGAAACATCGAATCCCGACGCATCGGGAACCGAGCAAGATTGGCGGCAAGACTGGAGGCATCTTCTCGCATATCGATGCACCGGTACGTTCACGCTGCAATACTCTTGATGTTTCAAATCGTTACTGTTGGTGCAGAAAGTGACAAGAAGGGCACTACCGCTGTTATTTGTAGACCGAGAAGAAGCGCAAGGTGGCGCGAAGTGCAGGTGACAGCTCGGCTTCACGGGAGGTCCCTACGAGAGCGCATCAAGAATCATCGGATCCCGCCCCAGGCTTCAAGAAGGCGCATCAGCAGAAGAAGAAAGTTGTGTTTTCGAAGCTGTTCTCGTAAGTCGGTGCGTGCCGTAAATTCTTCGATTGTCGCGTGGCTTTACGACAATCAGAGCAAACGCGAAGGACATTTCTCGGGTGACCTCATTGCTGTTTAACAATGAGGGACACCTAAATGACCACACTTGAATGAAGGTGGCCACTTCGCTAGGCTCGAAGAAATGTTCTGGAACAATTTTGCTTTCGTGCCGATGCACTAAGGCAAGTGCCGCTGTCGTTTACAAATTTGTAAGCCGACTTGACAATAATTTACGAATACTCATACTTTGATTAAGCTAAGCTGACACTAAGTGAGATCTTGTTTCTTATTTTGGCCATTTGGCCACAAGTACATGCTATTGATAGCACACTGCATTCCCTTTCGCTAGCACATGTCAAACGATAGAAAATTAGTCGTCTCACACTATATCCACTACAAAACTACCATGTGCCCTTTATTAGGCAAAATAAGCCCGTCAATCCGTGGACCGCGAAAGATGCCCGTTTGCTTAGTCCATTCAAACTAAGTTTAGCAACATGAGTATGGCCAAGTGCGTGACTAAACGATATTTATCTGCGACGCTCGACCTTCCTCGTGCTCTCCAGCTCTACAGGCCCGACAAACATTCCATTTCCATATTGCGAGGATATCAACACGAAGAGCGGTGAGTGTAGTTGACGTGATCAGTATACTTTTTGCATACTTTTCTCGTAATACACACCGTATACAGCCCTCAATCATGTGCTGTACTTCATGCATCAATTGTTAAACCCAACATAATGCTCCTGCAGCCCTATAAATTATCACGGCCATCAGTATGAGCCTTTCACATCCGGACCAATCCTGGTAGATTTATGTCATACTTATGGAACCCGGTGTATCCAGCCCTTCAATCATTGCTTATCGCAGACGTGTAAACAAAGTGAAAACTTGTAGCGCTACCTTGAAGTATAAAACTCCAAAGACATAAAAGTACTCATCAGTGTGTAGTATTGCTTTGCTGACATTGTGGTGCTACTTGCAAACTATTGAACTGACCACGACGTCGCGTTCATCACTCAGCAGTAGAATCATTTAAAACCCAGGTTACTCCAGCGCGATGAAAGCAAGAGGCCAATTCTGCCGAAGTCCTTTTCTTTGGCTGCAACAGAAGCCGGAAGGTCTTGGACACATTTAACCAACATTGCCAAGTTGAAACAGTCTTCAGCTTTTTTCTTTCCAGAAAGTCAATATATGTCTAATCGTGTAATTTATAGAGCGCTGCTTACTCGAATTCTGGCGTCGTCTAGCACCATTTCTAAGAGCAAAAGTAATTCGAGAACTCTTTAATCTCGTTGTCGATGACCTCAGCAATTGTCATAACATGAGCCTCTCCGTCACCACGATTCTCTACATTGTCCCGATCGCCATCAAGAAGACCGAGATCTTTTAGCTGGATAATAGACGCTACCTGCGAACGGTCCACGGCAGATCGTATGAACTCTTTGCGCTCTCTCACTTTAGATATATTTAGTTTCTGTTGCTGCTGACGGGCAGAGGTAGTCCTTGCCTCGTCCTTCTTTTAGTTTTCAATGACCATTGTTTTAATAAGACCTCGGATGTGGCTTTGGATGGAATGGATGTGGGATTTGATATACTCTGGATACAAGTAAGATTACAGATCTATGATGGCAACAACCTATTAATAAATCGGGGCTCGTCAGATCCGGCGTCAGTGCACATGCCATCTCAGAAGAGTTAGAATACTTTCCCTTTCGACTTTTTGAGCGCATACCTTTTACATGAACGTTCAAAGAGCTCAAATTTTAGCCCATCTGTAACGGGGTGAATCGTTACATAACAATTTATAAGAAATTGTTAATAGAATATAACTATAAGAGTTATATTCACAGAATATTGTCATAAGGACAAATATTCTGCAGCACTTACGAGTAGTTCCTAATTGGTTGATATAGGCCATTATATCAACCAACGCAGACGCGCCACGACAGACGCACGCAATGAGTGGTGAGCAGATAGTCGATATGCACATTTGTATTCAGACATAGTTAGATGAGGATTAATAGTGATTTATTAACAGGCATTAACTATGATAAATACAGTTCTACTTTTTACTATAAGCAAGCACTCGCTTCTCCTTACCGTCTTCCCCTGCACGTACCAGTGTACGTGAAGTTCCGAGGCACCGCCATATTCTGTCGTCAGAATAAGTAGCTTGTACTGTCATCAGTACAAGCTTCAGAGTGCCCCATTACACCTGGTAGCATTTTTTTGTAGTCCGTCCAAGGACCACGTTCACATCTAACATGAAAATGTTAGATGATGAAGATGACCAAAGCTTTCACACTACGCGTGACGGCTACTCCCATCTGAGCGATGTCGAATGGGATGCGGTTGAACGGATGTGTTCAACCATGGGCATCCATGCTGTTAGCGTCATGCTAGAGTCTCTCAATAGAGATGCCCAACATGCTACTATCGCCAAGTTCATTCAAAATGAACTTGACGCTGAACGCGAGAAAGTAGCCTTGCTTCACCAATAAGGTTCTCAACAATCAGAGTTGTTGAGAGAACAGGGTGCTCAACAGTTTGAACTGTTGAGACAGCAGCAGGCTGATGCTGGTGGGTCGATGCACTCGCGTCGACCCGAGACCTTGAAGATTGACATCTCCAAGTATAGGGGAGTTGAAGAAGACTCCCTCTTAAGACGGTTTGTAGAATTAGACGACGCCATAAGGGCGCGTCGCATCGACGACGGGGAAATGTAAGCTGCATTTGCCCAATCAAATTTGGCAGGACGTGCCAAGACTTGGGCATTGGGGTTCAAGTTGCACGACCCATATGCGTTTGGGTCGTTAGAAGTCTTCAAGTCGCGGCTCAGACAAACGTTTGAACCGCCTAGAGCTGATTTCAGAGCTCGAACTGAACTCTTAAAAACTCAAACAAGGTAAGCGTGATGTGCACGCTTACGCACAACATATACGACATCTCACAAGTTGTATAAGTTCCAATCCGGTGGATGAACACACGTTGGTTTCGGTGTTCATGCAGGGTCTTGCGGATGGTCCCGTCAAGACTCACCTGTTCCGGCTTGAACTAGATTCACTAGAGCAAGCCATTTCAATTGCGGAACAGGAAGACTTCAGCCTGAGACAGGCTCGCGCCAGCTCGACATCATATCGTCCACCGAGACGATTTGACAGCGAATTCCAGAGCCGATGAAACTCTGTTATGTATAGAGCGAGACGGCTCACTCTACAGACTACAAGAAGTTGCAGAAATGCAACCGATGTCAAAAGACAGGACACTACGCTTACGAGTGTAGTGCTTCTCGTCCAGTGTCTCGCAACACTGGGCGTAGTGACCGTCCACCCAAGAGAAAGGGGCAGGGACGCGGGTCCGCTGTTGGTGCAAAGACGCAACAACGGGGTGGACCGTCAAAAAACGGACAGGATCAGTAGGTGCGGAGCAATCTACTGGTCCAGCAACGTCAAGAGAATTTGTAGGTCTCTTGATGAAGATTGCTCCCAACACACAAACGTTGTGCGTTGGTGCTCTAGGTAATGAGATCTTACTCATTACCTTGAAACTCGAAGTGACAAATAAGTTGTCCCTCGAGCTCTAGTAGATTGTGGGGCTTCCAATAATTTTGTGCAACGCCAATCGCTAGAAGATGGTCACTTCAAGTTTGTTGAATGTGACACACCTCCTACGAGGATGACGGTACGTCTTGCGACAGGCGCATCCGTAACCGTCATAAAGCGTATAGTGAAGATCCACTATACGCTAGAAGATACCCACTATGACGATGACTTTATCGTATTGGATTTGGATGACAAATTTGATTTCATCCTTGGAATACCGTGGCTCAGAAGGTACAAACCACGGGTAAACTGGCAACATCGAACAGTAACGATGCCTGCCGCTTGTTCATCAGATGGCCATCTGATGAACGTTTTGGAGCGTCCACAAGCGTGTGGATGTACTACGAGTGAGTGCGATGGCCTCACTTGCGTTACGGTCGTTAGTACGACTGCACAAAACCTTAGTGTAACAAACGGTTACACTTCGGAGCAAAGTTCCGGCGGCTGTGAGGAAACACAGGCTGCGCCGAAGGTCCACCACTCGAATAAGTCGAGTGGACCGGGACAAAGATGTATCCCTAGCGGGGAACATCTAGAAGAGAAACAATCGATCGTTCAGGTTAAGCAAAACGATAATCCTAGATCGACTGGAGAGTATTTCGTAGAGGATCTCGCTGTGGTTGCGCAACCACAGCTAGAGGAAGTAAAGGGAATAAGTCCCGATAATACAAATACGGCGGAAATAAGTTCCTCGAAACCCGAGGGAATAAGTCCCCGGGAAGCCGAAGGAATAAGTCCTTCGAAGCCTGTGGGAATAATTCCCCAGGAAATGACAGAGACATTAAATGTCATAGTCAATAACGGATCAAGTGCAGGCGCTTATACACTTGATCTGATTGCGCCTCCGAAGTTGACTTCGGAGATCACTCAGTTGCCAACGCTCGAACATAAAAGGTTCTTGCGTGATCTGCGTAGTGGCAAAGTCAAGCAGATCTGCGTACTCGTCGCTGACGACGAGTGTGTAGCCGACATAAGGTCAGCAGCAGTGTTTACTGAGAACGAGAGAGTTCTCAGTAGTTCATCGAGGGACGAGAGCGTCCTCGATGAAGAGACACGAGTTGAGCGATATGACTCCCAATCGTGGGAATCGCTCAAGACAAATTCTCTCTAAGAAGATTCGGTTGAATTCAAGGATGTATTCCCTGAAACTGTTCAGTGCGAGCTACCGAAGGATAAAGGTACTCGGCACGAGGTCGAGCTTAAATTAGGCTCGAAGTACTGTGTCATGAAGCAGTGGCCACTGCCTCGTGAACAAGTACTTGCGATCGACAAGTTCTTTGCCGATCGTTTAGCTGCGGGCCATGTGAGGGAATCAACTTTCCCACATATCTCTCCGACCTTCTGTGTGTGAAAAGCAACAGGAGGGTGGCGGATTGTGCATGCATTTAACAAGTTGAATGCTGCAACGGTACCGGATCCGACGCCAATACTTAGGAAGGACGTGATCATTGATGGTATGTCAAAGAGTACCATCTTTTCGTCCATGGATTTGATGGATGGCTTCTATCAACTGCCACAAGGGCTTAGTAATGCCCCTGCCACGTTTAACAGATGTGTATCACATATGTTGAGACCAGTACGAGAATCCGCGCCGAGTTATTTCGATGACGTATTCATCCATATTCGGGCTATGGATGTAAAGTCGGACGTTGAGGTTCACAGATACTACGTCCGACAGGTTCTTACAATCATGCGAAAGCATCAATTGTATGCCAACCTCAAGAAGTGTATATTTGCAGCAAGCGAAATACCACTTCTTGGGTGCATCGTTGGTAAGAATGGAGTACGTCCTGATCCCGAAAAGGTCAAGGCGATCACCGACTGGCCTGTGCCAGTTGATGCCAAAGGTCTTCGAAAATTCCTTGGGCTAGCGGCGTATTTGCACAAGTATTCACGCAATTACGCCGAGATGACTGTACACCTCTCTCGTTTGTTGAAAAAGGTCGAGAGGTTGTTATGGAACGCTGAATGTCAGCGCTCTTTTGATGGTATCAAGCAGAGCTTGATACAATCCCCAGTTCTAGCAATTGCCAATCAGGACAGGCCATTTCATGTGGTCTGTGATGCCAGCGATTTCGCAATCGGCTGTGCATTAATGCAGTACGACCTTGAAGGCGTTGAACGCGTCGTCTGCTATCAGTCGCGTCAGCTGCAACCAGATGAGCGGAACTATCCAGTGCATGACAAGGAACTCCTTGCCATGAAGTATGCACTCGCGAAGTTCAGAGTCTATCTATTAGGAGATAGACCCTTTATTGTTTACACTGACCATGCGTCATTACGCACGGCAGTAAACAGCCCGCACCTTTCACAACGAATGGCGCGGTGGTTGTCATTCTTTGCAGAATACAACTTTACGGTAGAGTACAAACCAGGACGACTTAATGTTGTCGCTGATGCACTCTCAATTCGTCCCGACTTTGAACCAGTCGTGAAACCCAACAGTGAGACAGTCACTGTTGCGGTTATGACGTCCTCAGTCCTATCTACAACGTTGCATGATGATGTGAGGCGGGGGTATGCCCAAGATGGTGAAATTGTAAAGTTGTTGACACATCTCTCACAACCATCTCGAGAATCGTTGAAACGATTGTCGTCTGCGTATCGATCTGCATCAGATCGATACACTAATCGCGACGGTTTACTGGATTATACAGTCGTTTCTGGTGACACACCACGTGTTGTCATTCCAGATGATACTGATCTGCGTTTGCGGATCATGTTCGAGTATCACAATGCTCCTATAGGAGGACATCAAAGCCGTAAGAAGGCATATCTCACGGTGAGTCGAGACTTTTACTGGCCCCGCCAGTATCAGTTTGTGCGCAAGTACGTTCGCGCATGCGAAGTCTGTCAACGAGTGAAGTCAAGTCCTTTACTGCATGCACCTTTACAGCCTCTACCGGTTCCGGCTGAGTGCTGGGAATCCATCTCAATGGATTTCGTCTTCGGGTTACCGAAAGACGCACGCGGGGATACGGGTATTCTCGTATTTGTTGACAGATTCAGCAAAATGGTACACCTTGTGGCTGTACCAGAGTCAATCACGGCAAGTGGCTGTGCTTGTGTCTTTATTGACACCATCTTCCGACTTCATGGGTTGCCCCGTGAACTCGTATCAGACAGAGATCCACGATTCACTGCAGATTTCTGGCGTCCCGTGTTCAAATCACTCGGAACGCGCTTGAAGATGTCGACATCTGATCATCCAGAGTCAGATGATCAGATGGAACGAGCCAATCGTGTCCTAAAAGAGATACTTCGAGGATACGTACACTCCTTTAAGAGTTGGAGTGAGTTTTTGCCAATGGTAGATTTTGCCATTAACAGCTCGGTGCATGCTTCCACGACCCATACACCGTTTTACGTGAATGGCTTACGCCATCCGCGTGTACCCACCTTACTAGAGTGTAACTCTGGTTTAAGGGGGGGCACTCACGCGAGCAAAAAACCGATTTGGTTCACGCTCATCACGCTCTGAAAAAGAGGTCATTACGTTTGATGCCGATATCGATAACATCGATATCGATGAAGATGATGCCAGTGAAAGTGCGGAAGCCCTCACTGAAGAAAAGATTTCTGTCGCTGCAGTGCACTCACAGCGCACTGGAGCTAACGATCCAGCAGATGAGTTCATACTGGCTCGTGAAACGGTAGTCCGTTTTGTGCAAGACTCCATCGCCGAAGCGGTGGATAAGCAAAAACAAAACGCAGACAAGAATGGAAGGGCAAACACTCCTTTATATAATAAGGATGACTTAGTCCTACTGCCTACGGTTAATCTACCAAAGCATGTAGTGACTAACTTGGGTAGCAGTAAACTACTACCCAAGTACATCGGCCCATTTCGTGTATTGCATCGCCTAGGCAATGCACACAGAATCGAACTGCCACGTAAGATGCGAAAGCATCCCACGTTTTACGTTGGTCGGCTTAAGCCGTACCATCAGTCCGCTGCTTCTTCCGATGAAGAACGCCCTTGCGCTCAAGCATCTCGCAGAGAGCCTTGAGCTCCCGATGGTGGGCATCGGCAAGGGTCTGAAGAGCAGTTATATCATCCCGAGACCGCTCAACATTCCCACGATCTACCCTTAGCTCGTCCCGCAGAGACGTCAGAGCTCTCTTGTTCTCAAGCTGAGCAAAGGCAAACTCAGCTGGATGCTTCAAGACAGTGTCCACCAGTTGGAGACGCCTGTCCCGCTCATGTTCGAGATCGCCGCGTAACCCTTGCGTTACGCGATCAAAGAAGCTCTCGGGAACACACGCTTCCCCACGATTGTGTGGAGAGCGTCTTCCCTCCTCCTCCACCTCCATTAGAGGACTCTCGTGGTGTCCAGCGCTATTTGGTTGAGCAGCTGTTGAATTACCGCGATGTGAACGGACGTTGGACGAGTTACCTCGTCCGGTGGCGCGGCTATCCCCCGTCCTGGGATACTTGGGAGCTCCGCTCCCAACTGATGGTTGACGTGCTGGGTCTGGTTGAGCAGTACGACGCGGCACATCCTGTGCCGCAGAAGGACCGCCGGAGAAAGTCTTCCCGGGGCGGTCGTAAAGGGATTTCAGGTTGTCAATCCCTTTGTACATCTCACAAGAGATACGTACGCGCCACCACGACCTGGTAAGGAGGTAAGCCTCCTTAGGTGCGCGCGAAGAGTTGTTCACACAACATGGGCACGTTCTCCCCAGGAGAGACAGGGTAACCCACTCTCCCTAGACAGACGATGCAGCTTGTAGCGTGCAGCTGTCGGGGTTCGCTTTTCAAACTTATCACGAGCTTTGATAAGTTTGTCGTTCCAAACGTCCCGACCTACATTCTCAAGGTTATGGATGTAAGCGTTCCACGCTTGAAGCAGTGAGGGACCATCACGCTTGTGATTTCCACTGTACCATCGATGTTTGAAGAAAGCATCGATGAAGAAGTCATGCTCAGCGCGATAGTTTTTCGCGCTGGGGTCAAGGTGATGGATCCTTGACGAATCGAACAATCGTGCTCGATAGCGATCACTCGTCGTCGCCGACAAGTGATCCATGACGGATTTTGGAGGCATCCATGCCTTCTTTTCAGGAGCGAGACGCAACACGTTGCGGTCCCGCTCTTCCTGCGACGTGCCGACAGAAGTACTGGCACCTCGCTGCGAAGTGATGTCAATAGGAGAACCGACACCACTGTGAGCGCCCAAGTCTTGCGATCTCGAGCGCCTTCGCTTCGGCGGTGGTTCATCTGATTCGTCAGATGAACCAAAGATGCTACGACACATAGCATCATCCATGCCACGCTTGGCAGGCGGCTTGGATTCGATCGCCGTTGATACGGATCTGTCTTCCGTATCAGGAGAGTATGAGACACCAAGCTCATACTCTGTGAAGACATGAGTGTCTTCATGACGAGCGCCTGCATCACTAGGTGATACAGGCTGAGACGCTTCGGCAATGACACATCAGTTGCTGCGGTTTCTGCTTCGGCGTCCGCACAGAGACGTGCGGACGCGCTCTCGGCGGCCTTGCTCGCGCATCGCATGGGCTTGTTATCCATGCGATGAACTGTTGGAAAGTGGACTCGGACCAACAAGTGCAAACCCCGTCCCAAATGATTTGGTACGAGTACATATTAAGTCAATCAGTCACTGAAGTGACTGATGGTTAAGGGGGGGGGTGATGTAACGGGGTGAATCGTTACATAACAATTTATAAGAAATTGTTAATAGAATATAACTATAAGAGTTATATTCACAGAATATTGTCATAAGGACAAATATTCTGCAGCACTTACGAGTAGTTCCTAATTGGTTGATATAGGCCATTATATCAGCCAACGCAGACGCGCCACGACAGACGCACGCAATGAGTGGTGAGCAGATAGTTGATATGCACACTTGTATTCAGACATAGTTAGATGAGGATTAATAGTGATTTATTAACAGGCATTAACTATGATAAATACAGTTCTACTTTTTACTTTAAGCAAGCACTCGCTTCTCCTTACCGTCTTCCTCTGCACGTACCAGTGTACGTGAAGTTCCGAGGCACCGCCATATTCTGTCGTCAGAATAAGTAGCTTGTACTGTCATCAGTACAAGATTCAGAGTGCCCCGTTACACCATCCTTGTATTGACCGCTCCATATTAAAGACTCTCCTGGGAAACGTCGTAATTACGCTCTCTCTCGATCACGAATTTTTTTCACACTTGAAGGGCAACCTATGCAACAACATCGTCACACAAAGTGCCACCAAGCCAAGAACAAGCGCTGTAAAATGTTACCATCGTATGATTCTGTATCGACTGCATCTAGATAATCATTGGTTCTAAGAGAACGTTGAGCCACACCACGAGGTAGCTCTTATCAGTAAATGGAAAGATGATCTTTTCTTTATGCTAATTAGTTGCAACGACGTCCAAGAGTTCAAGGAATCATTTGAAGAGACGACCGAGGCTCATAATTTTGCGGGTGGTGTTGTTCAGCGAGATGTTTTGGTAATTTTAAGTATTCGTAGACTGCCGGAGCTCCTTGAATTGAGTCTCTTTCTTCACAAATTATTGATATGCTCGATGGTGTTTCTAAGCTCTTAGATGAGCTCTCGATATTCAGCGTTCCTGATCATTATTGGTGTAACGGCGTAGCCCGTTACATGATATTGACACCGAACGGTGTCAATAGGGAGATTGTCTAGCGTGACAATTCCCTACCATTATTATCCGAGATGAATAATATTGAGCGAATATTATCCCCTTTTATGATTATATTCATGCGCTGCTCAAAGATTGGTTAATAAAAGACACATCGACCAAGGTTACCACCAATCGCTGCTAAACGCGCGTAATGAGTGGCGAGCAGGTTGTCGTCATACGACAATGTAGATTAATGTAGTTAGATAAAGACTGAAGCTATATTGATAGCTTAACTATATTAGATACAGTTTTCTTTTCACCCTTTACTAAACATAGCTGTTCAAGTAGATTATCTTCCTCTGCACGTACAAGTGGACGTAAAATTTCGTGGCACCCCAAAGAAAGAGTGCCCCGTTACAATTGGGTCAAAAGCAGCACCGAATGCTTCCTGGACTACCCGTTTAAGCATACGCGTAATCGACCCGTCCCACGTCCTTTTGCGACAAAGGACAGAGCTTGCTTGACGTCATTTTCAGCATCAGAATGAGCATGCGATATCTGTTATGGATAGTGTAACGGGACACCATTTGTTTGGGGTGCCGCGAAAATTCACGTACACTAGTACGTGCAGAGGAAGCTAAGCTACTTAAACGACTTGATCAAGTAAGGTTAAAAGAGAACTGTATTTAATATAGTTAAGCTATCAATATAACTTCAGTCTTTATCTAACTATATTAATTTACACTGTCGTATGACGACAACCTTCTCACCACTCATTGCGCGCGTCTAGCAGCAATTGGCCGTAATCTATGGTTGATATGTCTTGTGTCAACCAATCTTCGAGCAGCGAATGAATATTACCCAAAACAGGATAATATCTCCTTCAATATTACCTCGGATAATATCGGTAGGTTGCTGTCATACTGGACAATATCCCATATGACACCGTTTGGTGTCAATTTCAAGTATCGGGCTACCCCGTTACAGATAGGCTGAAGTCATCTATTTCCTTACGAAGCTATTCAACAACGATGCCAGTTTCGCTTGAGAACCAATGCCCTTAAGAAGTTGGATCGAACCGTCTAAACCCAGGATGTAGCTTCGCAGTTCCCAATAAAGGTCAATAAAGAAGATATGAAAGCCAACAGACTTGTCTTTGGACACCTTCGACGTCCACATATCCAGGTTGAGATATAGTATCAGGATAAAGGAGTCTGAGATAATTTCCTGCAGGTCCACAATAAAGTTCTTTTTTGTAAGCTCTTTGAGCTCCAGGACAATGCGTTTCAGTCTTTGAATTTTCATGACGTGATTCATAGATTTGTTGCAGCATTTTAAAAACAATTGCAGATTGTTTTTGTCTTAACACAATCGCAAGATTATTCCAGTAAACCACGCGAGCCTACATGACCTCTCAATATTGATTTGGGTTACCTTTAATCAAGAGCGAAGCAATGTGCGCATTATACTTCCTCTTTTTTTTCTCTTTATCCGTAGTAAGAGTACCAGATACAAAGCGATGAATCTGTAGACCGAGTCAGGGTTATTGACTGCGTTTGAATTTAAAAAACAGGATTAAGCTTGATATCTAGTTGCCGTTCTCTGCATTCCTTGGTAGCCATGCAGAACCAGATAGACTTTTGGATTCTTTTTTTATCTCAAATCGCACTATTTAATCCCAGCGAAAGCTGAGGTTCTTCATCGCTTTCTTCGGTATGTCAGCATGCTTATAGTCCTCACACCACGTTTTAGGTATCACGAATGCCCCAATAGCACTTCTAACATTCCATCTTTATTTAGATGCTCTTAAGGCACTTACGTCATCTAACACAGTAGCACCATAGCCTTCATCATCGCTGCAATCGCTACTGGCTTATCGATGACGGCTAATACTACCACATATTATTGCAGTGGTTTTTTTTTGCGATGTAGCGTCAACATTTACGGCCGTTCCGGAGGATATTCGATGAGACTTTGACCTCGGAGAGTATGGAGCGAATGTATAATAACAACCAACCACAACCAAGCTGCCGATATTTTTTTTTATATTGATAATGAAATCGAAGCGGAAGCAGTGTAGCTAGTTCATCTGTATATAAAAAACCCATATATTTAAGGGTACTAACATGTTTTTCCCGGAGAAATGGAGGATATGATAGCACTGAGCAATCAGAAATGAGTGAAATCACTCTTTGTTTGATTATGATCAGTGTATGTGAGCGCCACGAGAGAATAAGGGGACAAATACACCACTATACAAATACTTACTATTTGTAAAGAACCATGATTGTACCTATAAATGGGTCCCCATCTTGTACGTACATCTATAGTTGATCGCATTTGCTTTTGCTGCATTTTTAATTACCAATTACGGTATCTATTTTCTTTCAAATGGACATTCAAAGGTACATATATTTGCTGCACTATCGTCATGCTACTAGTTGTAGGCACAAATAAATATGTACAGTGTTCCTCCCTTGCGACTTAAACAAATTGATCAAATTGATGCAAGTCTTTTAGCTGTCATTTGTAGGTACAACTACTAATATATATACCTTGCATAATGGGTGATAAACTACAGCTTACATCACTTAGTTTCATTGTTCACACAACATTAGATTTGCTTAAGACCATAAACGATCTGCAGCTCAAATAACAGGCGCATCCGCTGCACAAGGAAAAAGTGATGCGCTTAAAGGTTAAATTATACGCCTCTAAATGCCAAGCAACACCAGATACATGACCACAATGATGAACATGATGTGCATCTAATTCATAGTCTAAATGTTTAGGTACAACGTGTTGCGTTCCGTCTCTAACGATCATCGTGAGCAGCACGTGATTCAAGACGAGAATATCAAAGGTGCAGATTGTGTTGTCTTCACATCCGCGCCTAGCATTCAGGTACCAAAATATTGAAGAATTTATAGGCTCGTACAGAAGCTTAATATTTTATAAATGCCATTGTTATGCGAACAAACGCGCGTTTTGTGATGAATGGCCTAAGACCTAATCATGGGTTAAACACATAACGTATTACATGCTTGTCCCAAGCGAGTGTAATAGCGTACTCGCGCTTTCTTTCCTCGCGTACTTTTGTAATACTTCATCGAGGCCACTTTCTCGAAAAAGGCACAATGCAATGTCTACTTTGTTTAAATTAGTCTTCTTCAGTATAAACAGATTTCGTGACCAGTGTTAGTGTTCTTCATGTTCGTCGGACTGCTAAAATGTCTTCTTGGAATATATAGAGCACTACGTGTCGCTCTCAGGACCACTTCTTGCCTGGCATTTTGCTAGTGGCATTATGTGTCCCAGCAGCACTTAGAACCACTTTACCTGAAATAGGCATTTGTAATTGTTGCCGATTTGGGTAGAGGTAAAATAGGACTGAAGTGTTTAACTCATTCCAAGAAATGTATACTTATTATGTGTTGGAAATAGCAAATATGCGTTGCAACATAGCAATTCCCGATGTACAATCAGTTTAATATGCTCGCACCTTTTTGTCCTTTGTATTCATACCCGCTCTGCAAATTGCATATTTACACTACACTTTTTTTTATTTCCATTTACACTCTTAATTAGCATCAAGCGATAGCAGGCATAACTCAAATTCAAGATTTGTATTTTCAACTGAAGCTCTTTATCGTTTGTAGGCACATAAATGGGATAAGTAGTCGGTTTTTGTACCACGGTGACGTAAGCGGGCAGCAAACGTGCACTACATATTGCATCCCGATGCAACAGGGCATTCTGCACTTTATACAATATTGTATGATCCACCTGGGGTGATTTTAGTGAAGACAGCCCCTTGTGATTGACCACATAACTGGTATTTAAAGATATATCAACTAAGACGCTAACGGCTGCTCGAAGAAAAGGGAAACTATATTTTGTAATGTAGCTA